CAAAAGCACATCATGATTTACTTGATCGAAGGGTTTACAGAATACTGTGTCCGATTGAGATTTATTTTGTAAAGTTTCGAAAGAGAATTTGAAACAAATGTTTATTGAGCACATTAAAATTTTTGCATATACGAGTAATTCCAATATTTTTTCCTATCTGAAGCAGTCTTTAAAATATAAAGAATTCGTAGCTTCTGTTGCTGTATATGGAACTTACAGCGACTTTCCTTTCATTATCAGTAGCCGGACGGTTTGGCGTGGGCGCTTTGTTAACTCACTCAAATCGACCGCCGTGTTGGTCAGTCGTTCAAGCCCCAGGCTGAAAGATCGATTTTCACTTGCTATCGTCCAACCCGTGTAGGAATCACACGGTAAAAGGTAAAACCTCGTTAATCCTTAGCTCACACAACTTTCCACTTCTGAGGGTTGTCGTTCCTGGGGGTGTGACAGATAGTTAACGGATAAACAGTATAGAATTGAAATGTTCACCAGTTTTCTCCATCATCTCCTACTGCTTTTTCACGATTCATTTAGAAAATATTTATGCTTTACTGAATATCATTCTGAGGGAGGAAGGCTTACCTATCTCTTTTTAAATGGAGGCGGGGATCTTATGGATATCAAATTTCGGATCTGGATATAGATATAGGAGTTATATGTTGTTGAAGTAGATCTTCAATAAGTGGCAATATTTTTTTCCTATTGTATTCAGTCTTCTTAACAATGAATTGATTTTACACTTCATCAGAACAATCTATAGTTTGCTCTTCCTCGTCACAATCAAATGCCACGGGTTCTGATGGAATCTCCATAAAAATGATCAAACTATGTACACCTTACTTGATTCCGATAATCACTTTTATGGTAAGTAAATGTTTAACAAATGGTATTTACCCCTTCTCATGGAAAAAATCACTAATTTTTCAGATTAATAAAATTTCTAAGCCAAAAACATTTTCAGATATCAGACCTATCAACATATTACCATCAATTTCAAAAATTCTTAAAAAGCAGTTCATGGACAAATGTATAATTATGTGAACGAAAATAAAATACTACCACCACATCAACATGGATTTAGGCCCGGTCATAGTACTACTACTGCACTCTTGGGAATAACTGATGAAATTATAAATAATCTAGATAAACGTAAAACACAACTTTCATTATCCATCGATTACAGCAAGGCCTTTGATACAATGAATCATCATTTAATGTGCACCAAAATTAAATACTTTGGCTTTGATAATATGTCGTGCTGATTCATTGAATCCTTTCTAAATGATAGAACTCAACGTGTCGTCATGGAAGACATAAAATCGTCTGAACTTGGGGTAGCTTATGGCGCACCCCAGGGATCAGTATTAGCTTCCCTTCTTTTCACTATCAGATTTCTCTAAGGTCTTGAAAAAATTTCAAATACAAACATATGCAGATGACACAAACTTATTTTTTAGTGATATAATCGAGAATATTATGAACCAACAAAGTTATTTGAATGAAGATATAAAAAAATTAATTGAAATATCCAAGGATCATTCACTCACTATCAATCCTACCAAATCAACAGCCATAATACAGTCTTCAGACTCGTTTTGAAATATATTCTGAATATTTTTCACTGTCTAAAACAGTCGTCAAAATTTAAAAAGTTCGAAGCCTGAGTTGCTCTATATTGCTTATAATGACTCTCAACTTTTATTATTCAAGTATGGAATATAAATTTTCACCGTTTCCCTTCATTTAGGGAAGTTATGGAGCTACGTAACCGTAACCGAAACTGTCGGATACACGAAACAAAAATATATCTGTAACGGTAACTGTATCCGGTACAAAAGTTTCGCATAAGGGCGGAGTCTAAACAAATCATGTTACGATAGATGAATCTTGCAACGTTTACGTTTACGAGTAGGTACTTAATTTAATAAAGTAAAGGAAAAGTGTACAGTGATAAGTACAGAGAACTTTTGTGGCTGGAACAAAACCAACGAAAACCACATTCATCCAAACAGCTTATTACTTGGGATGTAAGTAATGCCAAACAAAAAGAAACTGATAGATTGATGGCCGAAATGATTACGTTACAAAACTTGCCGTTCAGCTTTGTGGAAGGTGTGGGATTTCAAAGATCAATGCAGGCAGCATTACCACGTTATCACCTCAGAGGTCGGCAGTTTTCACTAATTTACTGTGCACTGATATTACAGTAAAATGATGTGTGGTCCGTGCCCAGCGCAAATGTACCGTTCGTTACTTAGCCTTACTGCATGACATCACGAATAAATGTGAAAGAGTTTCTGTAATACTCAGCATACAGGTGAAATTATAGGGAATAAACAATATTTTGAAAAACTGGAACTGGAATCAGTTCATTGTATTTTACGCGACAGAGGTTCTACGAGTAATATGATAAAAGCTATGAATATTGCTCATTTCACTAATGGGAACTGTAGTATTCACAAACTACAATTATGTGTTCGATTGCCGATGGAAACGGAAGAATTTCTTTTGCCAGTGACTACAAATTGCAAAAAATTGCGACTCACTTTAATCATTTCCTAATTGCTCAAAGTGAATTGAAACAAATTCATATCGAAAGACTGAACCAATCAGGACTAAGTATATTTCAGGAATATTCCATGCGGTAAGGTTCTCTTAAAATGAAAATATGCATGCACCTACCCAAACCCATTGAGTATCTGTGTAAAGATATTTTTTTTTTACTTTATTTGACACGTTTTATTTCTTTGCAGTTGCAATTCGACGTATTATATGATGTTAAGAATATTGAAATTGAAAGAGCCATTAGTACTATATTCGGGAACGCATGCTATACCAAAAAGTGTATTAACTGTACTAATTTAATTCGAAGAAATTACAAATTAGCTCAGTAGTGCTACTGTAGTTTCAGTAAATCCATTAATATATACCCTTAAAAACACATTAGAAACAGAGAAGACATCAGACAGGACATCAATATTAGATTTCAGGACATTAAAAATAATGTAATATATACAATAGCTACTTATCTAGATCCACGATACAAGCTCAAATGTTTTACTGAAATTACGAAGGAACATGTAAAGTCAGTGATTTTGGAAATCTTCGGGTGTTCAAAAACTTCACATGATGAAGGTCATTTTTCACCTAAAAGATTACAGAATGAGCTATCAACACCAAGCTCAAGCAATCAATCACACATTCAATCCTGTCTAGCTGAAATATTAAGCATAAGTAATAATAACAATAATAATAATAAATTGTCTTTATTTATACTGGCGGAGTTTAGCTTACGCTACTCTTCCACTCAACCAGTATTTTGTACATATATATAGTTACAGTAAAAAAAATAAACGAAAATTATTGATAGATGAATTGTCTTACAGATTGTTGTGATCAGTGTTTTTCGAATATGATCTTCCTAATTTTCTTTTTGAACGATTAACATGGTTGTGGTATTATATATTTATGATATATATTGAAAGTGGTAGCAGCCTGATATGTGAATGATTTTTCATAAAAAACAGTGAAATGTTTGGGTATGGTAAGGGTGGTAACTGTCCTAAGGTATCTGTTATGAACTTGATGACGTGGAGTGAGCTTTTTCATTAAATCTTCTGGTATTTTATTAAAAAATAATTTGGTTCTTATATTTTAATTACTAACAGCAGAAAATAAAAAATGCGCTGGGATTCGAACTCGTGAAACCCGTGACCATCATGTCGTACCAATAACTTGACGCCACTGAGCTATTTAGTATTAATTGACAAAATGATAATTTTGTCGAGGTATTAAAAATAACGATTTGGTGTTGGGAAAAAACTCCAGTAATATTCATTACTACACCAAAGGTTACAAACAGTGCATCATAAGTATTATTCACTTGTTGAGCAGTGTATAAAATGTCAAAGGTTCCGACAAGAATGACACTACTGGATTAAGCTATACTGTGGCCATGTGGGTAGAACCGACTGAGTTTCTTTTGAGAAAATATTCTCAGAATCATATATATTATACATAAATACGCATTTTTATTTATATTAGTTGCCTGACTACGTATATACGTGGCATTTGTGTGCATATCAGGTATAATGTAAATCCTTCAACTTTTAGAACGTCAATATCTTAGGAAAGGTGATTCTTATAGAATATAGGAACCATTTTTGTACATGATTTATGGTTTATGATTTTTGTCTGAGCTATATTTTTAATAAAACTCACTGCTTTTGAGAGAAATCCAAAATAGTTCCAAAAAAACGAATATGTTGAGCACACATGGGATGTATAAGGACTTTTGGTACTTCATTTCTACTGGTGTACCCAAAGCCCTCATCAAAACTCAGCTCTGTCGGAATGTTTGTTATTCGATCACTATTTTACATCTATTTTGACCGGACAATCTGCATCGTTAGTGGATTATATTTAAAATCATCTAAACGAACAACTCCCTACACTGCAGGTTAATGAACTGACCCCTATCAGAAAACAGGTACTCCCCTGGCTAATGCCACGAAGGGGGTCGGATTATATCCGACAGGTGTCAGTGCAGTTGTATCACCAACAGCATATGCAGGAATAACTTCAGTGAAGCTTTCTGCACTGACACCTGTAGAATATAATCCAACGCCCTCCGTGGTATTAGTCAGGGGAGTAGTTGTTTTCTGATAGGTGTCAGTCCATTAATCTACGATATAGGGACTTGAGACTGGCCAGAACGAATTTTTCCTCAAGATAATTTGATTTATAGCCAGTCTTCAAGTATGCCCACTGACTATATGTGGATTACATTTGTTTGCAGCTAGCTGATAATAGTTACCCGAGTTCATACACGATATCATTGTGTATTATTCTCCTTGGGTATTGTTCTCTGAGAATTCAGCTATTGTTTTTTTCTTTCTTTCTTTTTTCGCATTTGAAAGTAAGGATGTTTGTTTTTAATATTGTATTAAGCGAATTGTATTACACCAGTTCGCGACCTTCACTGGATCAGCATCAATTTATTTCATATGGTGCAAAAAGGTGTTCTTTTAGTCAACAGTAGAAACAGGGACTCAGAATTATTTCCTTGAGAACATTGGATGTTGAGAAATCGAAACCATATCAAGCTTTCGGTAGGTAACACTAGTGCAGAGGCTTTACATTCATTCATAATCTGATATGGACTCTGCAGAAAACAAAATTGAATTACTTATACTTTTTTATTTTTCTTTCAACTATTATTAAAATTATTGAATATATCTCCATTCCAGTGTTTCATCTATACGCAACTTCAGTGTTCTGAGCATGAGTTAGAACGAGCATATGATAATTATTTATTAAACATTTTTCAAAAATATATACAGATTCGATTTAAGAGCCTTAGGGGCAGAAAAACGGCAACTAATTTATCTTAAATTTTTTCTTTTTTAGTTTGTCATGTTGCCAGGACGGGGAGCTACAAGACTGATTTTGAAATTGGAGGAGTCTGTGAGAATACAAAATACATGTAAATCGCTTTTGAGTACCCAAGATGTTATGAAAAGAGAAAAAAAATATGCAGCTCACAACTATCATCCACTTCCGGTTGCCTTGTGTAGAGGAGAAGGTAAAATACATTGTTTTTCTCATTAAAAAATAATCAAATTGAACAAAAAAACAAAACTGAATAATACCCAAACTTTCGCAATATCAATTCTAGTGAATTGTCAGAATCTTCAAGTACAGGGTCACTTCCCATAACTAACATAACAGAAAATTAAATGTAATTTTCTAGAAAATTTGGTATTTAAAAAACTATTACACCTACATGTAGCTCGAAAGAAACAGTAGATATGTCAATATTTAATGTGATTATTATGCATGTGTGCATTCAACATTCATAGATTTTTTTAACATCCCTATAAGACCTCTGATGGCTCATTGATACTTGGTTTCTACCTGAATGAATATGTTCCTTTTCTTTATTAAAGAACAGAGAAATACCAATAACAATAAGATATTATTGTTTTCATTGCATCATCAAGAAATTTGAACGACTTGAAAATGTCATTCATCAGCCATTTTGAAGTCAAGAAATTTCAACCTTTTCACACCTTCAGGTATTTTATTTCCATTGTATATTTCCTTCAGAAGTTTCTGTATGCTCATCACTATATTTGAATATTTCCAAATTCTCTTTATCACCTTCTATGCATACCACCACTCTGTGCATATTATCTTCGGTTGTTAAACCTCTAGATTTTCTCGGTATCTGTTGAACAATGTTTAATTTCCACACTTTTTTCTGTAATATGTTTTCTTTGATTTTTTCTGAATACCTTTTCTCGAGTATCATATATGCTTCTTTTAGTCTTGCATTTCATTAATATTTTGTCTTTATATCATTCTTCTGTTATACAATCGATCTGTATTTTATAAAACGTATAATTTTTTGTTACCTTTGGCTTAAAAGTAAAATTTCATGTTTGCTACCGTCACTGTATTCACTTTCATAATTATATAAGTTGTTCTATTTCGTATCCATATACAATTATTCAATATTAGCCAAAATGATGATTACCTACATTGGCAATAATCCTCAGCTTGCATGTGTGGCAATTTTTGAGAATTGTCGTTTTGTCATTTTCGTTAGTATTCGTTTTCCTTTTCTCATCATTATACATTTTTCGTCTCTATTAATTCCAATCTGAGGATAATTTTTGTTTTCTTGATATTTTTTTACTTTAGTACTTTCTCGTTGATCTCCTTTATGATAAGGCGTATCTAAAGCAACAAAAGTATTTGTTTGCGATATATGCCAACTTTAGTAGGCAGTTTTACACTATGTCATCTCACCAACAATTGTGTTGATGAGATGGCATATGAAGAGTTTTTTTTTTAAACTTGTATAAAAAAAAGTATGAAGTTTTTCGGAGTAATAAAGTTATGTTTTAATAAATAAGTGTCTTAAGTGTTCATTTCACTCCTTACCAATTCTGTAACTTGAAGGTGCTACTAGTAATTAAGTATAGAAAAAAAGTATGCCATCTCAGGCATATCTCCCCTACAATGGTCATCTAACAACATCAATAATCCTTCCAGACTACATCAAAGCTATTACCATCAGATTTTGCCATGGAAATTGAAGCTATATGGGTTTGACGACTCTACGGTAAATTTATTATGGAATTACTTTAGTGATCGTGTTCAATATGTAGAGGTTGAAGCACTACGATTCAGTAGACTAAATTGCGAGTTTCGACTCTCTCAAGGGTCAATTCTTGGCCAATTACTATTTATGATGCATATTTCTGACTTTGGCAAATATGTAGCAAATAGGCCGGTATCATCATTTCAACCACTTGTAGCAGCCTCTAGTAATAATCAACAGAGCATTATTGAAATTATTTGAAATATTTTCGGCTTATAACCTCAAACTTAATTCCTCAAAATCAAAATATGGATCGTACAAGTCGCTCTTATAATATCAGGCGTAATATCACTGCACGCTAGTCGAATTTTCATTTTCAGATCATCCACATTCAAAGGGGGAGTAGTGAAAACAATATCTTTTAAATAACCCCATAGGAAAAAATCAAGCGGTGATAAATCTGGGGAACGAGCCGGCCACCGAATTGGACCCTTATTACCAATCCATCTATTTGGGTACGTTCTATCCAGATATTCAGTAACAACCTGTGAATTGTGAGGAGGAGCACCATCTTGTTGCCACCAAATTCCTTGTCGTTCTG